GAAACCTTTACAAAAAGGACGCAATACGAAGTCGCGAATACAAAAACATTTTAAAAGGGGAAAGTTATAGGAAACAATAAATCATGTCTGATGCAAATCAAATCAGAGCGAGATAATAGGATTCTGAAATCTACCCTAGAGTACGGCTTTGTGGATTACCAGGCATTATTGAAGCCAAGCGACGGTAAGTTTAAACTAGATCAGTTTGAATCTTTCTCCTACGATCTGGCCACGTTTTTTAATGGCTTTTAGATTGACGATAAAAATGGTGATTATCAAGCTTGATGAAATTATTGATTCAACATTATATCATCATTTACGAATGTACACACTAGCAATATAGGTGGTTAGACGTGTAATAGTAGTCGTTATGTAACGTGCGGTCGAAACCAGCAAGCGCACACAGGTTTAATTTGAATTACGTAACAGGGCGTGCTGTTGTGTTGTCGGCGCCGTTTTAGCTATCAATTGTGCAAGTCGTGTGCACGGCATACTGGGCGTTTGGTTTATGCTTGTTTCTTGTTGTTTCCTTTTACAGGACTGTTGTTGGAACCCCTACTTCGGAAGAACGCTGTCCCCCGATGTCTCTACTTTGCCCCACAGTTGGTCCGTAAGTGTAACGGACAATCATAGAATAAACAGCCGGCTTGCATGTTACAGTTACTACCTTTGGCGGAGGAATACCCTTACGTACCAACTTGATGCTAGTCCGTTTGTCTGTATTTTCAGCTATGAGCTACTTTAAAGAGAAGGCTTAGAGAAAGTATAACATACCCAAAACCGATTGATGACGTCATGATGATATTAAACTTGAGATTACTAAATTGAATCGATTGAAAGCTTTTCGGAAACACCACTCATCCCACAATCGAAAAGTTTATGAAACTGGAATGAAGCAATGATGAGTTACCAGTGGTAGATTTTCTGTTCCACAGTGTAGAGACACTTCAATTATCACCTGCAGCCACAGGCATGAGAACTGATCTCGATTGCTCACTTTAAATGGATGCAAACCCCGTGTTTTACACAACAGAATGTCAATATAAAAGTATAGGCAACCAGAAACCAGCATTGACCGGCTGGTCACAAAGACTTCCTTCACATGCTTCTTGGTCTTACTCGTATGATCGAAACCACAAATGGTGCAGCGCAAGCCACTTGTGGTGATAGTTATGTGCAAGCGTCCGTTAGCTTTGGTCACTGTGACAGGCTAATCCAAAGCGGATGCCGTCGATCATAGGCGATCAGATATTATCACAAAACGAAACACGCTTGCACTACCACACACGCTTGTAACTAATTCAAATGGTCTGAATACTCCAAACGCCACTAATGTAAGTGTTAGTCGACTTTTTACAAATTCCCAAGATATGATTCTATGGAACAGGTTGTCACAAATTATTGTCCAAACTTACCTGGTCTGTTACAACCACTTGTGAAAAGAGGTATATGTATTCTTGTTACATGACATCTAAAACTCTCAAACTTTCATTATGCTGCCCATGGATGTTAACAAAAACTAATGTTTGCAAAAGAGTCTAATAACAGCCAATGAGCCAACTGTTCTAATATTACTGGTTGTCGTCCAACATGTGACGGTATCTCAACCTGGATAACAAATGGACAACTTTACCGCATCAGTAATTTAATGTATGGTCAACTGGGCATGTTCGTTACATAATTTGGCACTCTTCGTGTAAATTCATCCGTTGTCATTATATTTGGTCTTCTTGTCTATGAATATTTCTTGTTTATTTACGCACTGACTTGATTGAATCAGTATCACTGGTGCGGTATTGTGTTGATCCCGGTGACTGTAGTTGAAAATGTAAAAGAGGTATATATTTTTTGAGTATCTGTCTGCAATCAACGGGTCGCCAGTTTGCGGTTCCAAAGCTAGCGTAGCTTCTAGATGATTTTACCGACGTGTTTGAAAGAATTACAGACTGGACATGGAAGAAGGGCGCTTGTCCATCGGGCTGCCATGCTGTCTACGTCCTCGTAAGTCCGTCAAGGCACGCTTTATGTGCACGAGTCCACACTAACGTTGACCCCGGAATTCAACGAGGATCCTGAACAATCTGGCTCACATAGCTTCAGTGTGCTTAACAATACCGGATACATGGTGTGTGAGTGGAACCGCAAATCGTGCAGCGCAAGCCACTTGAGGGTGATGGTTTAAAGCGCAGGCGTCCTTTGGCTTCGGTCACTGTGACAGGCTAATCCGTTTCGGATGCCACCAACCAAAGTTGTACCCAACGGCTGTGACTTTGTACCTTCATTAACAGACAAACAGACAAATCAATTTTGCATCAACATCCTCTCGAGCATTTACAGGCATACAGTCTGTGAACTTTTCAGGCGACGAGGAATGTAACACTCTTTATGAACTCAAATATATATCAGAGTTCCAATTGTTTTGGGTTGTTAGATGAAAGTTCTAGTTTATTCAGACGAATTTAAATTGCATACTATGGTGCAGTTGATGTTCAGCCTCAGCTCGGTAAATTTGTAAGCTATGTATTATCAAGCCTCGTGAAATCCCACTCGTGAGTTTGCGGCTTTTCATTACTGAGGTCAGCACAAATGTCGCGGTAACTCATTTGTTCTGGTGAGTCAAATGTCAGGCGATGAACAAGAGATTTATCCACTTAGCTTTTTCAGGGAATGGTATAAATCAGGGGTTTGCAAACAATCCTTGGAGCTAGGTTGTCGGTGACCGTGCATTCTCTATTTGTTATCTGCACGCTGTTCTGTCCGCCTAGATGAACAATTATGTGGGTGTCTCTCCTCCTCCTCCTTTTGCCGGAGATACTGCTTTAGGCATACAGCTATCATTCGAATTTCACACAAATTAAGAATGCAGGTTAATCATCAAAGCTTTAGAAAACCGTATGATTTGTGATCCCGTTTTTCCCGTTAATGTCTCCCCGTCTCCTTTACTGTCTTTCTTTTGAGGCACGAATATGGACAATGTTTACAGATTGAATATTGATTTTGGAAGTGACCCGCCTAATACCATCATCATGGCAGTGTGAAGTATAACATTGCTTCATCCTAATGAATATGTAAAACGAAAGATGACCACATCAGTGTACTTCAGTAAGATGAACATTTGACTCCTATCTTACGAACACTGGGATATTCTTGTAATTGTTTCATGTTTTATGAATGGTTGAAAACGGATCGATACAAATGAGACGAACATGTTTATTGAACAGCTAATACATTATGCCTATAAGGCGATAATTTATATGTGTCAAACCAACTTTACATTCGAACGGTAGATACACATACTTGTTATAACGTTTCATGAGATTTACTTTCAATCCGACACCCTACTACTGATTTCGTTCATGTTTCGATTAATTGTGTAGGTATAGTTCTAGTAAGAGATTAAAGCAAGTTGAATTATATTCATAAACACTAACGATATCTGCACATTGATTACAAGTATATGAAGACTGTAGATTTTAAAGGTCGCAGCTAACGTGGCATTCAATAGTCGTTCGTTTTAATAATGACTACAAGGTGAAAGAAAGCTGTTCTTTTTCAGCATGTCCATATATATTATGATAAGACTGCTTTTTTTTCTAGTTAAATGCTGAACTGCAATTTAGAATAACCAGTGATATTGCCAAATACAACTCTTCGTGATTTATTCGTCTGACTAATTTTTATATCAGATTCTTTCTGAATGTCCTCACATGTTTAACAGAAATACTGTAATTAAGCCAATTGCACAGGAAATTCAAGATTTTACCAAAGTTTTATTTCTTATCTAACTTAGAGTTAATGTAAAGCGATTTAGTGAGACTCGGAACATTAACCCTCATTTACTTTCAGGACAACTGTTGTAACATTATAATCTACTAAACGTTTTCACTGACAGCTAATCACATAGCACGATTCCACCGAGATGGAGCTTCTGGTACGGATGCAACTGTACTTTTCTGATCAGCAAAAGACACCTATCTTGAGCAAGCTCGTTGGTTTAGTTAAAGTGAGTTCGCACAAAGAGGAACTCGATTCGTTAGGGATGTACTGTCTATAGGTCGAAGAGAAGAGCAAGACGTTAAAAGTCATGCGTCTATCGACACGTTCGCAATATTATTGAAGCGATTTATTGAGAACTGCCACCTATATCATCTGTGGCACAGTGTATGAAAGACAGCATTAAATGTAACAACACAGAAAAGGAGCATCCCTTAAAAGCAGGATGGAGAATCAGATCCACGGCAACTAGGCAGGCGTAAGAGTAGTAACACAGACGCCTAGCCACTTGACCATCAGGTCGCGATCAGTGGGGCTCCCGAAAAGCATTGATGACATCCATTCCGGTCGAACTAAAAATCCGTCGTTTATCACGGACCGTTTGAATGTGAGCTATTATTCAATGTTTTTCTTCCCATCAGGTTAACCATTTGGATTTTACAGGGAGAAAGCTAGAGGAGAAATAAAACCATCTGGAAACGAATAATAAAACTTACAAATTGATCACTTGTTTTAAGTGATACAGTCAAGCGCTATTGCTACTTGACACAAAAATAGCAGTTCTACAATTGACTTGGAAGCATGCATAACCACTGATGTTGAACACTACATTTCCTGCTGAGGACTAAATTACGAACTCCCGGTCGTGTTAAGGATATGCATTACTAACGAGCTCCAATGAGGGCGAAACTCAAGTCTAGTGTTTCTTTTCGAAAGGAGCCGACTGGAAAGTCTATGGGAATGCGACAGCTGCGATCAATTGTGGGTGATGTTCAATCTATATACAAATCAAAATCCCCTACTACTCATCAGTAATCAAATACTGCTCAACAATTCAATGATTTCTGTTATTTCAACTTGGAGAGAAGTCCTAGTCGAGGGGTCATCGATTGGAGTTAACAGACAGTAACTGTCTCCTCTCGAGACGATCGGGCAACCTGATCATTACTCACAAGCGAAAGTGGCTGAGTGTTCACATATGATAATTCGGTCGTGCCAAACGTAAGGCCAGTGGTGTAAGGATAAACACGGCTGCCTCATGAACAGCGTGTCCGTGGTTCAAGTCCCGGCAGTGGCGAGGATATGCACTACCGATGAGCTGCTCTAATGAGAGCGAAATTCGAGTCTGGTGCTTCTTTTCGAAAGGGGTAGACTGTGAAGTCTATGGGAATGCGACATCTGCGATCAATTGTGGGTGATGTTCAATCTATATGAAAACCAAAATCACCTACTACTTATCAGTAAGTTCTGTAGTGTTCAAAGAGAGTTGCAATATCTACCAGTGTACAACTAAAAGCTCAAAATTGCCAAACCAAAGTCCACTCAACAGTTTTGCCATCTGCTAGTAAACGTAGTAAATCATTGATGTTATTTTAACGGGCAACCCGAATGTCCAACGGAATCACTATTTTACAAAGCTGACAAAATCCCCCTTAACAGATTGACGGGAAGACAAAATTACTTACAAAGTGAAATTGGACTGAGTGGGGCAACTGATTAACACTGTGGATTTCTGATTGTGTAGATACTATATATCTGAGAAGTAACTTCCAGCCCGATGGTGATATACTGACATGATTACCCTAGGCTCAGCCATCACACTGATGACTAAGCCTTTATGAAGCTTTTAACAGATTCCATTCGATGCGTTTAGTTTTAAGTGCTATGACTTCGTTTTTATGTGGTATATTTTAAGTGATGTCAGCGATGAAGTTGTGTATCAAATCTTAAAGGGACGATAAGCTTAAAATGTTTTGTAACTTGTAGTTTCTCACGTCATGACGATCTGTAGCGGGGTCAGGTTGCTAGCACGAAATATGCGTAAGAAAAGATACATCGAGACAAATCTATGATATCGCAATAGCTCAACACCAGTCCGAAACGACTGACGAAACAAACGAATAGGTCATTAGTTCAATAAATCAGACACTCAGTTCATACGAACGGAGACCAAACAGCATCAACCAGTCAAATGTGGGCTGAGTTACAATCGATTGTCTTATGTCCTTAACTCAATCGGAGGCTATTGTTATAAAAAGCTTAAGAAGACGAATACCTACTGACAAATGGTGAGTAGCTGGGTAATTTGGATGTTACAAGTTCAGCAACACATGAGTTTGGTTTCAGATTTTACAGTTGAAAAACCATTTAACTTTATGTATCGGGAAATACGCCACTAACACCGTTTGACCGTTCGAATTCTATCAACAGTTTTTGTACTTATGTGAAACCAGAGACGAACTCTGACAATTGAACTTGTGTTGCCAACTTGTAGAGTTATAAGTGAAAACAGTTCACACAAATTATAGTACTGACGAGTAGACCGCGATTTGGTTGGTTTCAGGTCGAAAAACAATCACATTAGATTGCACCCTTCTCATTCAGCTAGATTATTCAGCCAGGTTTAGTGAGATCAGAAATTCCAAATTGTTTAGGAAAACCTTATCATAGGGTTATCGTTTGGAGCTACAGAGAGTTACTGCGTCTCCTATCGTGACGATCGAGAAGCCCGATTAGTATTCTCAAGCAAAAGTGGTTGAGTATTTAGATAGGATTATTAGTTTGTGTCTAATGTAAATTCAGTGGCGCAGTGGCGAAAATAGTTGCCTCTTAAGTGCGTGACCGGAGTTCTAATCCGGGCCGATGATAGGATATGCATCGTTTGTAAGCTGTAACAAGAGTGAACTTCGAGTACGGTACTACTTTTCGAAAGCGGCTGAGAGGAAGGCCTGTCTGAATGCAAGGACTGTGACCAAGTGTAAAGGATATTCATCTTGACATTAGTTATAATCAAAGCAATGCAACTTGGTCATAGCCTTCACAGACAGATAAACTCCCGGTTTTGTAACCTAGAATAAAAAGTTCGCCCTTATCAGAGATAATCGTTAATGCTTATCCTGTTAATAACCGGATTTTCCATTCAGTCTTCTAGACTGCAAGATGAGCTTGCCAACCACAACGCCAGTCCCCTCCCATTATGAACGATCGAATGATCACATTCAAAGGCTCAATGAAAACCCCCCGTGGATAGCCGTTGGATAGCCTGGTCGTTCCGAAAGAAGTATGTGCAAAATCGTTCTGTTCAATTGTGTTGATAATCACGTGATCAGGTTCTAACACTTAGGTTTCTTTTAGATAAGCTTTTTGACCGCTATGTCACGTTCTGCACGGCTGAATGGTCGCGCAAAAACTCTCGGGCACATTTGACTGCGAGTATCACATATATAATTCCAGTCACTGACCCCAGGAACAGAACTACTGCTCAAGTTGGAATGGTGGAACTCATTGAAGTTGCACGACCATCTGATTACCAGTAAGTGATAGAGAGATTTTGCTAAATATGACTTGGACAATGATAGTTAGCGATCGAAGCTCTCGTATTATCATAGATTTTTCAGCCAACCCCTTGTTGATAGAAGCAGTATAGTCGAGTTTCATTCTTGCTATAGTTCGTCAGTAGTGCGTATCCTTGCAACGGCCGGAATTTTATGTGCGACCACATTTCACAAAGCAGGCGTGTAACCGCATATAATGACAACTACGTGGACATTTGCTACTTGGTTAGCAATTGGTCCACAAAATTGTACGCAGATCGCGCGTTAGGAGTTTGCGTGTCAACGGCTAATGTTGGTTTCGGACGTCCTGTAAAACGTGTCCGGAAAACCATAATTTGAAGATGATCATTAATCTGCTTGTCTACTGCTGAATGGTGCTCTATATACTGACGAATGGTAGTGAAACTTGGACATTTTCTCAACAGAACGTGTGCTATCTAAGCCATCTCCATTGTTAGTGTCTGGGACGCATCTTGGGTATTCGGTGGTCGGACATAGTTCCGAAAATTGAGTTACCGCGGCGAGCGGGCATGGACGAGATGGAAGTCATGCTGATGCTGAATTAGCCTCTTTGGCTAGGTCACTTCCATCGGATGGGTAATGGCCGTATTCCAAAGTATTCGCTGTACGGACAGGTGAAATAAGGTAAGCAAAATCCTGATGACCAAAAGCGGAGAAACCTAGATGCTGTGCAGGTAAGTCTTTTGCGTTGCAACATTTATTTTAGATGTCAGGAGGACCTAACGTTGAACCGGACAGTCTAGGAAAAAATTATCCGGACGTGCGTCCGCAGGTTTAGTGAGCAGCAATTGCGCGGTACGTGAAGGAACCATCGGTGTCATGAGTCGTGGTTACATGACTATATGGCGTTGCGTTGTGTGCGACTGCGAATGAGCTGGCCGCCTTGGATTAGTTAGTCATCAGCAAACTCATAGTACACCGTCGACCAAGAGACAACGAGTAAGTTAGGGTCAGGTAGTTTATATTAGTTACACCAATGAACGACTGCCGTCGTTTGGCATTCACCCACTCCCATTTTCAAGAACCTGGATGTCCATGGTGTTCTACTTTCTCTTTCCTTCAGTTTTGTTGGTGTACTATCTGTTAATGTTTTGTCTGTTTTATTCCAGCCCAACGTTACTTTTTGTTTTTCCGCCATATCCTCTCTAGAATTCACTTACATGTACTCTTATACTGGAATACTAACTGCATTATATTTTCAACATTTTTCTTCCCAGTTTAGAATTTACGATTGGAATCTCTCTCTGTTTATTTCTCGAGAGATTCCAGTTTCGTGTTTGCCTATCCGTTGACTAACTAACAATGGCTTGCTGGACAAAAAAGCCTCATTCACATATCTCCCGGGTTTCGTTCCTTTGGGTATACATCGGATACGTTTTGTGTGAGTAAAGCCACAAGTGGTACAGCGTAAGCCATTTGTAGTGATAGGTAGACGCAGGCGTCCTTTAGCTTTGGTCACTGTGACAAGATAATCCGATTAAAATATGCCAAATTGCGGGTGATGCTTAGATTTCCAGAGAGTCCGATCGTCCCTCAACTTCAACCGGTAACCTCATGAGGAGGACTTCCATTCGGGTTTGAATCACGAAAACCATCAGATTTATCGAACGGTATTTTGATCTCTAGTAGGCAATAGTGGAATTGATTTGTGCAACTTTGAAACATACTCATGGCTTATCGGAACGTACGCGTTCATATAGGTCTTTTCAATCAGCTTCTTTTTTTGAAAAATGACACTATGCTGGAGTTTCGTCAATGTTGAAACTCATTGGTGGAGCGGTTTCTTGGAGTGACTGTAATCCTTATTCCTTCATATTTGTAAGGAACTGTAATTTTCCTACATAAACAAAATTCAAATTTGAGTTCCCTCATCAAAGCGGTGTGGTTACTTTATCTCATTATTTACGCTTTAGATAGGCTTGCTCACCATTTTGGTCTCTATTCTATCGAACCTCTTTTGGACTTATTCATTCGTGAAATCTACAAACAGACCGAGGTGCACAGCTGAGTTTTTTTTTAAGTAGGCACAGAGAAAATTGAGTTCCGACATACCAGAGTTATTTATTAGCAGTTTGTCACCGTGTCAAAGTGAATTGGCGGAGACACACTGTGCAGCCTCACTGTAGACTCACAAGGCATCTGACAGTCATATAAACTTTCCATAGCAATTTCGCTTACTTCAATATAAAAAGCATTTTTATGTCAATTTTTCGAACAAAACTCAGTTTAATGCTTTAAATTGGATTTGTTTAGCTGTTTTGACAAACGATTGCTACTGACTTCCGAATAAGAGGATTTTTCGTAGGATGAAGGTTACGGGATTATCTGATTTCAATGGACTATGAGTCTAAATTCATCTTTGATTGTGGACTTTATTACTGCGTTACCAAGCCACTTGTTTCATCACTTGCAGTCTATCATAAACTAGGGGCTTGTACACTCAGATTCGAACCTGGCCGTCGAAACGCAAAATCTTTGAGGCTCACAATATACTGAGCATCCAGTATGGACAAATTTGGCGCAAAAGGTCACCTTGAATGTTGCGTTCACATGGCTCCGGTGATCAGAGTAGAATGAGTAGACCAAATTACGGTGGACCTGCCAATCAGCCGATGTGGCAATTGCGTATTACCGTTGACAGTCATCTTGTTGTGCAACCAACATATGGTGATTCAGTAGAAAATTGCCAAATATTAGAAATTGTATTGCTACTTGACTTTAC